CCGACCAGTTGGACTTTTTTTTTTTTTTTTTTTTTTTTAATGGAGTCTTGCTCTGTCACCCAGGCTGGAGTGCAGTTGCTGGATCTTGGCTCACTGCAATCTCTGCCTCCCAGGTACAAACGATTCTTCCACCTCAGCCTCCTGAGTAGCTGGGACGACAGACGCACACCACCATGCCTGGCTAATTTTTGTATTTTTAGTAGAGAAAGGGTCTCACCATGTTAGCAGGCTGGTCTTGAACTTAAGACCTCGTAGTCTGCCCACCTCAGCCTCCCAAAGCGCTAGGGTTACAGGTGTGAGCCACCGCACCCAGCCAGGTGAATTATTTTATAAACGATGTTGGAACATTTGGCTCTTCTAGAGAAAAACAAGTCCTACCTCACACCTAATCAAAAAGTAAATTCCAGGAGATTAAACACCTGAATATGACAGGATGGTCTGGGGAGAAATGAAACTTGGAAGGCAGTATCACAGAAAAGTACCCTTATCTGTGATTATTTTATTTCTTTAAAATAAACAATGTTACAAACATGAGAGTATATTAACAAACCCTGTGGTAGGAATGGGGGCGTGTATTGTATTATACTTTGTACTTTTTTGAGTTTTGAATGTCTTTTTTTTTTTTTTTGAAACCAAGTCTTGCTCTGTCACTAGAGCAACAGCCTTGGAGGGCAGTGGCATGATCCCAGCTCACTTCAGCCTCCACCTCCCAGGTTCAAGCAGTTCTCTGCCTCAGCCTCCCAAGTAGCTGGGATTACAGGCACCCACCACCATGCCCAGCTAATTTTTGTATTTTTAGTAGAGACGGGGTTTCATCATCTTGCTTAGGCTGGTCTTGAACTCCTGACCTCGTTATCTACCCACCTTAGCCTCCCAAAGTGCTGGGATTACAGGCGTGAACCACTGCACCCAGCTGAGTTTTTAAATTTCTAAAAATAAAAGTAAGTATATATTTAAAGTAATAGAAGAAAATGCAGGGAAAGTTGTTTTTTGTTTGTTTGGTTTTTTTTGTTTGTTTTTTTGATACGGAGTCTTGCTCTGTCACCAGGCTGGAGTGCAGTGGTACAATCTCAACTCACTGCAACCTCTGCCTCCTGGGTTCAAGCAGTTCTTCCGCCTCAGCCTCACGCGTAGCTGGGACCACAGGCGTGTGCCACCATGCCCAGCTAATTTTTGTATTTTTAGTAGAGATGGGGTTTCACCATGTTGGGCAGGATGGTCTTGATCTCTTGATCATGATCTACCTGCCTCGGCCTCTCAAAGTGCTGGGATTACAGACGTGAGCCACCGTGCCCAGCCAGGGAAAGGTTTATAATCTGAAAATAGAGAGAGCCTTCCTAAGAGTGAAATGAAATAAAAAGTCAGAAAATAATATGTTGTTACAGATTTAACTACATGAAAATTTTTTGGCAGCTCACACCTGTAATCCTGACACTTTGGGATGCTGAGGTAGGTGGATCACTTGAGTCCAGGAGTTCAAGACCAGCCTGAGTAACACAGTGAAACCTGGTCTCTGCAGAAAATACAGAATTATCCAGGCATGGTACATGGCTGTAGTCTTGTAGTCCCAGCTACTGAGGAGGCTGGGGTGGGAGGATCACTTGAGCCCAGGAGGGGTGGAGTTTGTGGTGAGCAAGATCATGCCACTACACTCCAGCCGGGGCAACAGAGCGAGACCTTGTCTCAAATTTAAAAAAAAAAAAAAGTGTTTTTAAAGACAGATGAGGAAAATATTAATAATATGTATAATACATACAATATGTAGAACCCTCATATCAATATGTAGAATTTCCTTTTTTTTTTGAGACAGAGTTTCACTCTTGTTACCAAGGCTGGAGTGCAATGGCGCGATCTCAGCTCACCGCAACCTCCACCTCCTGGGTTCAGGCAATTCTCCTGCCTCAGCCTCCTGAGTAGCTGGGATTATAGGCACGCGCCACCATGCCCAGCTAATTTTTTGTATTTTTAGTAGAGACGGGGTTTCACCATGTTGACCAGGTTGGTCTCGATCTCTTGACCTTGTGATCCACCCGCCTCGGCCTCCCAAAGTGCTAGGATTACAGGCTTGAGCCACCGCGCCCGGCTTTTTTTTTTTTTTAAGACAGGATTTCACCATGTTGGCCAGGATGGTCTCAAACTCTGACCTCGTGATCCTCCCATCTCGGCCTCCCAAAGTGCTGGTATTACAGGCATGAGCCACCACGCCTGGCCTTTTTTTTTCTTTTTTTTTTCCTAAGACGGGGAATATGTATAGCTTCCAAAGAGAAAGCAAAGAATATGAGCAGTTCAGTCACCAAAAAAAAGAAAGAAAAAACATCATTAGTAAAATCATTTTTTAATCTATCCAACTGATGAAATTAAAAGGGTTGGCCGGGCGCGGTGGCTCAAGCCTGTAATCCCAGCACTTTGGGAGGCCGAGGCGGGTGGATCACGAGGTCGAGAGATCGAGACCATCCTGGTCAACATGGTGAAACCCCGTCTCTATTAAAAATACAAAAAATTAGCTGGGCATGGTGGCGTGTGCCTGTAATCCCAGCTACTCAGGAGGCTGAGGCAGGAGAATTGCTTGAACCCAGGAGGCGGAGGTTGCAGTGAGCCGAGATCGCGCCATTGCACTCCAGCCTGGGTAACAAGAGCGAAACTCCGTCTCAAAAAAAAAAAAAAAAAAGAAATTAAAAGGGTTGATGATATTGAATTTTGGTAAAGGAAGACACAGGCACACTTGTATATTGGCACAAACTTATTGAGAGCAGTTTGACAAAATTATACATGTTTTTTGACTCAGAAATTCCACTTATGAAAATCTACCCCCACAGAAAGACTGTAGCAAGTCCACAAAGGTACTCATGAGGCTGAACAGTTTTGGAAACAAAGTCTGTGGGTATTGGGGTGAGGAGATTTGTTTTGTACACACAGTGGAACACTAACTATACAGTCATCAAAAAGAGTGAGGTAGACTGTATATACTCCTGTGGAAAAAAATATAAATGAGATGTTAAATGAAGGAAGCAAGTTGACAAGCAATATTTGTAGTATGGTTACATATCTCTGAATAAACGTGTCATATGTATGCATTTAGGTACACCAAGACAGGACTGGAAGAGAAGACAGTACACTGTTAATAGCACATTTTTTCTTCTTTCTTTAAAAAGAAAAGTTCAACTTTATCCCTTTCACATTAAAATGTCAAATAAAATTGAGGGAGAAGCCACCCATAGGCTAGAAATTATATATATTTTTTGCCAGTTTATTCATTTCTTTTTTTTTTTTTTTTTTTTTTTTTTGAGACAGAGTCTCACTCTGTCATCCAGGCTGGCGTGATCTCAGCTCACTGCAACCTCCGCCTTCCGGTTCAAGTGATTCTCCTAACTCAGCCTCCCAAGTAGCTAGGATTACAGGCACATGTCACCACTCCTGGCTAATTTTTGTATTTTTAATAGAGACAGAGTTTCACCATGTTGGCCAGGCTGGATTTGAGCTCCTGACCTCAGGTGATCCACCTGCCTTGACCTCCCAAAGTGCTGGGATTACAGGTATGAGCCACCACACCCGGCCTCTTTTTTTTCTAGCCATAGGATTTGGTCTCTTGTTTCAGACAGTTAGGATCTCATCCTGTCTACGGTTTTGTAGCTAGCTTTTTTCAAACACATGCCTCAGTTGTAGTGGCTGTTTAATGTTCTGTGCCATAGTTTGCTTATGTTTTTATAGTTGGAGGCTCTACTCCTTCAAACCTATGACTATAAATCTCCCATGCAAGCCTTAGCACCCACCATGCTCACACCTGCAGTGAGCTCAGATGGGGAATGTGTGACTGAAAGACAGGACCAGGTACTCCCTGGGTGGGACAGGTTCAGAGGGCCTATAACAGGTCACAGCAGCACTAGGGAGAAGTGTCCCCCTCCCCTCACCCTGATGTGGTTTGGGTAGGGATGGTGGTCCTTGGCCAGCCAAGCCTGGGCCATTCTGTATTCCTGCCTTCCTGGCTGGGCCTTCCCCTGTTCCAGCTTTCTGCCAGGTAAACAGTACTTTCCAGCACTACCAAATAAAGATTTAAGGACTGCTAGCCCATTTCCTCTAACCCTGGGGAAAGAAAGTAGGTCCACAGGAAGGAAGGCTGCCTCCCTCCCCTTCTTCTACCCCCCACTCCCCCGCCAACGAAAGAGGTGGTTGGCAGCCACAGCACGTGGCCCTGGACAGGGTGCCTGGGTTGGCCGTGAAGGAAGTAGTGTGGCGCTCAACTACCCCTGGGCCGGATGCATCGAGGTTGGGACTGAAGAAAAGGGGAGTTGAGGAATGTCAGTTCCTCTCCTGTTTTCTCTCAGCCCATGGGTGAGACCCTCTGTCATACTCCGCTCCCTTTCCCCTGCCCTCGGTCAGCAGTCATTTGGAAAGAGCTTGCTCTGCTGCTGCCCGAATTCTGTGGCTCATGCTTCTTGCTGGTTCCGCTCCCCACCCCTCTTCCATCGTCCCCTAGTAAGGATGGCTGAGAGAAATTCCCCTGAAAACATTTGTTTTACTCAGTTTACTGATAAGTGATAATAAAAGATAAGCATTATATATTTGTGTATTTATGGCCTACAGTGTTCCGATTGTTTACCAGTCTGATGTATGGTTTCAGGTGAGAAAAAAAGGGATTTATATAGTGACAGTATTTTTAAGCCAAAAATGAAATACATAGTCAAAGAATTTTGGCACTGCCTTGGTGGCTGGAGGCAGGTCAGAAAATGTCAGTTGGCATAGTAGAACTTCTAGAACACTGAAATAGTTTGTGAAGACACAGGTGAGAATATTTTAAGCTACCACACTTATCATGCATGTGGCAAACTATCAGTCTGTTTGTCAGTGATGGTTATTTCTTGATACCCAGAAGGCATCCATGTGGTCCACCCTTCCATTGCTCTAAGACCAGGGGAGTGGGTGAGCAGCAGGATTCAAGATGGCAGCCCTGCCAAGGAGTGGGAGTCCCAGCTAACTTCTGCTCCCTGCTCTCCCACCAACAGCCTACACCGATTTCTTCCTGCCACTGCTGAGCCGCTGTCCCTCTGCTATGGGAATAAAGAATAAGGATGGGGAGACCCCTGGCCAAATTTTGGGCTGGGGACCCCCCTGGGATTCTGCTGAAGAGGAGGAAGAAGATGATGCCTCCAAGGAGCGGGAATGGAGACAGAAGCTCCAGGGTGAGCTGGAGGACGAATGGCAGGAAGTCATGGGGAGGTTTGAAGGTGAGGAGCCCTCTGCCATCCACAGCTGCCCTTCCCCGCTGGCTGCTTTCCTTCTGCATGAATGCGGCCCACGAGGCTCCTCTGCCCCCTCCTCTGTGCTTCCCTCCCACCTTCTCACGGCCTCTCTCCGACTACCCCCACCCCACCCTCCCAAACAGGTGATGCCTCCCATGAGACCCAGGAACCTGAGTCCTTCTCAGCCTGGTCAGATCGCCTGGCCCGGGAACATGCCCAGAAGTGCCAGCAGCAGCAGCGAGAAGCAGAGGGATCCCGTCGACCCCCACGGGCTGAGGGCTCCAGTCAGAGCTGGCGACAGCAGGAGGAAGAGCAGCGGCTCTTCAGAGAGCGAGCCCGGGTCAAGGAGGAAGAACTGCGAGAGAGCCGAGCCAGGAGGGCGCAGGAGGCTCAAGGGGACGGAGGGCCCAAACCAGCCAGGGCTGGGCCTAGGGCAGAGCACCCCAGAGGAGCAGGGAGGGGCAGCCTCTGGCGATTTGGTGATGTGCCCTGGCCCTGCCCTGGGGGAGGGGACCCAGAGGCCATGGCTGCAGCCCTGGTGGCCAGGGGCCCCCCTTTGGAGGAGCAGGGGGCTCTGAGGAGGTACTTGAGGGTCCAGCAGGTCCGCTGGCACCCTGATCGCTTTCTGCAGCGATTCCGAAGCCAGATTGAGACCTGGGAGCTGGGCCGTGTGATGGGAGCAGTGACAGCCCTTTCTCAGGCCCTGAATCGCCATGCAGAGGCCCTCAAGTGACCCTAGGGAAGAAGCAAGAAACTTTGGGGCTGCAGCCTCAGGATGAGGCAGAAGGAAGGGTAAGGGAGAGGATGGGGACCACAAGGAAGAGCCAGGTGCTGCTCAGCAGAGGATATGGGTGGGAGCGAAACTTGTAACAAGTGGGGGTGGGGGGGTGCGGGCCGCCACCACTGCTCCTTGACTCTTCCATTTCCTAATAAGACCTGGTTCCACATCTCACTCCCAGTGTCTCCTCTGTCTTTTTCCATTGCTGTGGTTTTCATCACCCATGACATCTCCTTTCCCGCCCGCCTGCTGAAACCCACAGCTCCCACACACCTGCAACACACGCACACGCTAACGCGGGCCCTCAGCTGGAGGCGAGAAGCCTGTGCATGCCCACTCAGGTCAGCCCTGAGAAGGCCCAGTTTGCCAGCCAGTCTCACTCTGCTCCCTGCACTGGGGTCTTGTTCACCCTGCAGTCTGTGGCTGGAGAAATAGATGTGAACAGAGGCAAAAAGGGGAACAAAACCAGTTTCCCTCCCCTCCCTGGCTCCCCAAGCTGAACCACATCCTCCTCCCCACTTCACACCCCCTTCCCCCAACACAGGGCTTTCCCTTTGCTGAGTCACTGAATGAGCGAGTTGGGGGGAGCCAGGGCTGGGGGGCCTTGAGGAGACCGGGGGGATGGGCAATGCAAGCAGAACGGCTGGAGGAAAAGCCCTATGGGGGAGTGGAATTTCAGTTGCTAAAATTAGGAGCAGGGGAAGGAGGTGGAAAGAGCAAAATGATGTAACCTGGATTGTCTGTTCTTGGGCAACCGCAGCTCCACACCCAAGGCTAGCCAGGCCCCTGGCTCCATCTGTCTCTGCCCTGTAGCTTGTCAGTTGTATCTCTCTTCCTCCAGGGCCCCAGTCTTCATCTCTGCCATTCAGCTTCTGCCCCATCCTAAACCTGAGTTCATCTCTGGGCAGCCCAGGCATAGCCTTCCCTATAAACATTTCCTTTTTCAAGAACCAGTGGTTGAAGTCCTAAGGGGTGCAGGGAAAGGGTCTGGAATGACCACAGAGAGGTGGGGGGGCTCCCTGGAAACTAGCATAGGAAATGGCAGACCAGACCCCACTACTATCACTCGGGACACAACTGGGAACTAGGGAGAAAGGAAGGACAGGGCTGCAAGGAGATTACAGGCATGTGCTGGTGAGTGCAGTCTGCATATCTACGCCAGAGCCAGCATCTTATCAATCGGAAACTGATTTTTCAGTCTCTACAGGAGAACCCCAGGAGTGGAAGTGGAAGGCAGTAGAGGGTAGGGAGGGCAAGCCTCTGGAAACATGGGAACATGGGTGGGCAGGCGTGAGGTCCTTGAAGAAGAGAACCGGATGTTAGGAAGAGTCCCAAGGCCTCTGAAAGGACCAGGCAGATGTTCAGGATGCAAGAGGGGGAGGGCTGGTGAGAAAGATCCTGTGAGAGGAAGCTGCTGTGATTCAGAGAAGAGACTTCAAGCTGTGTGTGACCCTGGCGTCCGGTTCCTCTCACAGGCCGGAGCTTTCGGAAGTGGCATGCAAAGAGCCTAGGTCTGGCCTTGGGGGGAGTTGGGGTTAGGATCCCTAAGCTGGGGTTTGAGAGATAAATCATGGAAACCTCTGCTGACCAAATTTGCTCCTCCACCCAAGAGATTTCTCACTGGTTTTTAAGCACATCATCTCCCCTTCTGCCAGAGTTACATAAAACTAAAGCAAAATAAGCCCTGAAACCTGGGCCCACCGGATCACTGTCTTTTCAACGTCCCTCCCTGGTGTCTGGCCCCCAGCCCTGGTGGGGGTTCCCCTGAGATAAGGGCTGTTCACTTTCTCTGACCACATGGTTTCCGCTTCTGTGTCTCCTGTTTCCTAGGCTGATAAAAATACTGAGCCCTAGAGGCCCTGGCTTCCTCTGACCCCTTGGGGCAGGCAGCAGACATCCTGTCCAGCATGGAGGGGGCAGGGAGGGAGCCAGGGATTCCCAAGCGGTGGGTGACACAATGCCTGCCATGAAACACTGGGTGGGTGGAAGTGTATCTCTGCTCTCTAGAGCATCACTTCTTCACTGTTGTTACCTGGGCCACTGCCCACGGGATGAAGTACAACCTCTGACCTTGACTTTCTGTGGTCCTTTCTTCATCACATGTTCCCTCACATCTGTGCTGCTTCTGCCTCAGGATGCTCCTTTCCCTGAACATACTGCATTTTCTAGCTTGTCAGGCTCTGCTCAGGTGCTAGCTCTAGAGAGCTACTCGGGAGGCTGTGGCAGGAGAATCACTTGAACCTGGGAGGCGGAGGTTTCGGTGGGCTGAGATCCCACCATTGCACTCCAGCCTGGGCAACAAGAGCGAAACTCCATCTCAAAAAAAAAAAAAAAAAAAAAAAAAAAAAAAACACCTGTTAGGAGCAAGGCACTGCTTGACAATAGGTATAAATGATAAAGTCACTGTCTTCATAGAACTTGCAGTACACTGCAATGAGACAATATACAAATAGTTATATACATAATGGGAGGTGTATCTGCTCAAGGTAATAAAGTGCTCAAAGGAGGTTTGAGGCACCAGCATGACAGTCAGGTGGAGCTTTCCAGCTAGCAGGTCTGGAGCTCAAGAGAAGTTGGATCTGGAGGAATAGATAAGAGCATCATTCCTTTCCCAGTAGAGGTTGAGCCTTTGAGGATCTTCAAGGGGGGTTGGCCAGAAGAGCCCTGAGCATGATCAAAGGAAAATAACCAATAAAGGAGAGGTTGGGGAGCAGTCAGAAGCAGGTGGTGGGGGATGCCAGGCAGAGACAGGGCAGCCACGTCTGAGGCTTCAGAGAGACCTAGTAAGTGAGGGTTGAGAAGATTGTTGGGTTCAGGAACTAGACGATTACAAATTTTGAGAAAACCGTTTCCATTTAATAGAGGGACAGAAATCACCTTACATAGGTTGAGGAATGAGTGGGAGGTGAGGAAAAGGAGGTAGTGAACACCGAATAACAGAATCATCTCTTAGTTCTACTTACAGATTTTACAGATGAGGAAAATTTTACCAGTTCCTGAAAAAGTGGTTTGTTAAGGGGCTAGTCTTTTAAAACATCACACGAAAAGACAAGGTGAGAGATGGACTGGACATTTGAGGGTGAAAGATTTCAAGGAAGAATCTTTGTGTGTGTGTGTTTTTTTTTTTTTTTTTTTTTTTTTTTTGAGACGGAGTTTCGCTCTTGTTACCCAGGCTGGAGTGCAATGGCGCGATCTCGGCTCACTGCAACCTCCGCCTCCTGGGTTCAGGCAATTCTCCTGCCTCAGCCTCCTGAGTAGCTGGGATTACAGGCACGCGCCACCATGCCCACTAATTTTTTTGTATTTTTAGTAGAGACGGGGTTTCACCACGTTGACCAGGATGGTCTCGATCTCTTGACCTCGTGATCCACCCGCCTCGGCCTCCCAAAGTGCTGGGATTACAGGCTTGAGCCACCGCGCCCGGCGTTATTTTCAAGAAATAAAATCGAATGTAAAATGAAGGCGCTTAAAGAGACAAAGATAGGCCAGGTGCAGTAGCTCACACCTATAATCCCAGCACTGTGAGAGGCCAAGGTGGGCAGATCACTTGGGGCCAGGGGTTCAAGACCAGCCTGGCCAACAAGGCAAAACCCCGTCTCTACAAAAAATACAAAAATTAGCCAGGCGTGTTGGCACGTGCCTGTGGTGGGAGAATCACTTGAACCCAGGAGGCAGAGGTTACAGTTAGCCAAGATCACACCACTGCACTCCAGTCTGGGTGATAGAGCGAGACTCAGTCTCAAGGAAAAAAAAAAAAAAAAAAAAAAAAGGTAGGCCGGGTGTGGTGGTTCACGCCTGTAATCCAAGCACTTTGGAGGCCAAGGTGGGCGGATCACCTGAGGTCGGAAGTTCAAGACCAGCCTGACCAACATGGTGAAACCCTGTCTTTTTTTTTTTTTTTTTTTTTGAGATGGAGTTTCAGTCTTGTTACCCAGGCTGGAGTGCAATGGCACGATCTCAGCTCACCACAGCCTCCGCCTCCTGGGTTCAGGCAGTTCTCCTGCCTCAGCCTCCTGAGTAGCTGGGATTACAGGCACGTGCCACCATGCCCAGCTAATTTTTTGTATTTTTAGTAGAGACGGGGTTTCACCATGTTGACCAGGAAGGTCTCGATCTCTTGACCTCGTGATCCACCCGCCTCGGCCTCCCAAAGTGCTGGGATTACAGGCTTGAGCCACCGCGCCCGACCCCCCATAATTTATTATTTTAAAAAATAATAATTATAATTATAATAAAAATAATAATTTTTTTTAAAAAAAAGAAAAAAGGTGCAGTGGCTCATGCTTATAATCCTAGTGCTTTGGGAGGCCAAGGCAAGCAGACCACTAGATGTCAGAAGTTCAAGACAAACCTAGCCAACATGGTGAAACCCTGTCTCTACTAAAAATATAAAAATTAGCTGGGTGTGGTGGCACACGCCTTAATCCCAGCTACTCAGGTGACTGAGGCAACAAAATCACTTGAACCTGGGAGGTGGTGGTTGCATGAGCCGAGATCACGCCACTGCACTCCAGCCTGGGTAGCAAGAGCGAAACTCCGTCTCAAAAAAACTCCTGGGCAACAGAGCAAGACTGTCTCAAAAAAAGAGAGACAGCCGGGCGCGGTGGCTCAAGCCTGTAATCCCAGCACTTTGGGAGGCCAAGGCGGGTGGGTCACGAGGTCAAGAGATCGAGACCGTCCTGGTCAACATGGTGAAACCCCGTCTCTACTAAAAATACAAAAAATTAAATGGGCATGGTGGCGCGTGCCTGTAATCCCAGCTACTCAGGAGGCTGAGGCAGGAGAATTGCCCGAACGCAGGAGGCAGAGGTTGCGGTGAGCCAAGATTGCGCCATTGCACTCCAGCCTGGGTAACAAGAGCGAAACTCCATCTCATAAAAAAAAAAAAAAAAAAAAAAAAAAAAAAAAGAGGTAGTGAAAAGAAGAAAGATAGAGGAAGTGGGATAGAGTACAGATAAAAGGATCAGCCTTGGAAACAAAAAATACTGTGAGTCAACATGTAAGGAAAGATGAAATATAAATAACAAAGTAAAGGGAAAAGAGGGAAGTGAGATCTATGCTGGATGGCCTTAAGCTCGATGAAGTATTAATAGATGAGCGTGAAGGGCATCAGAGGCACGGAGATTTAGAACATCACCCGCAGGAGTACAATGGGGAGTCAACAAAGCATGAGT